CCAGTGTAGGCTTAGTTACCGGGCTCGAACCCAGTGTATTGTGCTAAAACTAACAACCTTGCCATATCATACATCGGTGGAATCGCAGGGGCGGAACCCAGGCTGGGTACGCTTGTGGTGCGTATCATACGAAGGGGATCTGGAAATGCAAGCAGATACGGACGATTCGCGAAAACGAATGAATATGTCGAGGAGAGATCAATCGGGCGCGGTACGCGAGCCTGAGGTGGACACTCGGTCACTCTTATTGAGCATCCAAGGTAAGGCTGCTCTCGGAGGAAGCCCGCTACAAACATCGATCTGTATTGCACATCGGGATAGTGAGCCTTATCATCTTCCTCTCCTATGGTGATTTCAGCGTTGTGGTAGTCGCATGGACGCGTACTAGCCAGCCAAGTGCCACTGACAGCGGAGTCTCCCGGCCCTTGCCGCGCTATGACACGCGCTAACCAACGTTAGCGCCACGACCTCCACATTACTCTAAATAGTAGATATATATTGTATGCACTTTCGAGATCTTCCATCAACAGCAGGTTTGGTGGTGTAGTTGGTTATCACGTTCGCCTCACAAGTCATCGACTGCGTGCGCGAAAGGTCCCGAGTTCGAACCTCGGCTAAATCAATCTGGTTGTTGTATTTTTGCCATTTTCAACTTATGGTGAACATGTTTTTTGGTCTTCTAATATTTATTAGGTTATGAGAATCGCCAGCTGTGTTGTAAATGCATTTTACAACATGGGCACGTTTTTGTTTTTCGAGGCTGAGGCATGATGTCGTGCAAAGAACATTCAGACATTCAGAACATAAGTGTGTTCTTAACAAATATATGTAATGTGAAGCTGCCGAAATACAAACGCCTTTTCACAGTAACTCAATACTTCGAGCCTCACGACCTCATCATGAGCTTGCCATCAGCATCCCATCCATGGCACAAGCGTACATTGCCTGCTCCAACTATCAGCAGCCAATCCATGCGTCGCTTGTTCACACAATAAAAACATACGGTTTATCGAAACACACTTCCCACCCCCTCTCCCTATTCTCCCAGTACCGCCTCAATACCGCTAGACTCTTCAATGGCCCACTTGTTCCAAGCAACCGCGCCAACTGATCCAGCCTCGCAGCAATCCAATACCGCGTGCCTGCATCGCGATACCCCGCTTCCACGCCGGCGATTGTCAGCGGCCACATGACGAAGCACGTGAGGCGGGGTGTCTTGGGCGCTTGGTGTAGGTTCGCGAGGAGCTGCGTGCCGTGGACGGAGCGCATGGCGTTCATTTCGAGCGTGGAGGGGAGGATGGTGAGGGATTGCAAGGCCATGGTGCAATACAGCGCGGCGGCAGATTGATATGTACGGCCAATGAGCATCCATTCATCGAAGTGCGGGCCGGGTTGGGCCCAGTCTTCGGGACTGAAGGATTCGATGAGGGAGAGTAAGTCGTGGGCGGTGAGGAAGTGGGATGCGTTGGGGAATAGAGACGAGGTCTCGGCGCGGAGGTGGTTTATGCGAATGATGGTGAGATAGATGGTGGGTGGGCAGAGCGTGTAGGGGAAGAGGATGGAGTAGATTGATTCGATATCGGTGAGGTCTTGGGCGGGGCTGCCGCTGAGAGAAATTTGATCCCGGGAGGGGGAACAGGTGTTTGCTAGTGTGACGATGCTGGGGCTGGAGTTAGTATTGATGATGATTCTTGCAGCGGTGGTTCACGCACAGCATGAAGATGGCCAAGGTGGGCGTGAGATATGGAGACTGTTTCATCAGGCTTCGTATTCCGCCGCGGAGATGGATAAGTTGATTTAGTCCGCTTGCGTGGCTGCGCCAGTTTGCAATGAGTGGATTCTGAAGCTACAGGGAATATCGTTATCAGCAGAACGGATTCGCCCCGAAGATGTTACTGACCTCCATGGCCAAGGAACATGAGAATACTTGATATCGCTAGGTCGCTGCATCTTGTCTTGTCCTTTCCGACATATTGACTGAGCGACCGTATTGCAGCACCTTCGATGCTGGTGTATTTCCGATCGAGTTGAGATAGTCACGTGTTTGTTGGTTCCAACTTGGAGGGTGTGAATGAAATGATTGAGCGACAAGCATACCACAGTGTGGTGTACTGCAGGGGGGAGCATGTGGAGTGCCGCTAGTGGAAACTGTATCAAGGCTGGGTTCGGGGCGAGTTCTCCTGATGCCTTGACCATTGGATATATCCTCGTATTATCTGTTACGTTGATAGTATGATAAGCATGATGACTACTTGCCAGTGTGAAAGACGTACAATAGTTGACAGCTTGAACTACCACATTGGTATCACTGACGAGGTACTTGTAGTCCGGTATGTCGAATGACTCCATGATGCGAAGGATGCGTTCGAGGCGTTTGAGCGGTTGAGACTTGGCACTCATCATATATGCGGCTTTCTCATGCAGTCCATTTTGCACGATCCTCTCAAGCTGGCTTCTACCACCAATGGCAAAGATGGTATCGAGAATACCACGCGATGATGCATCCATGAAGGCATATTCGCTGGACACCTTCTCTTCGTGAATTTCAGCGAGGTAGCCCCACTTCTCTTCGACCGTTGATATCCATGGCGCGAAGAACTGCTGCTTTGGTAGCGACCTGGCAACGACGTCACTTGGGGGTAATTTGGCTGGAGGATATTGTACCCTTGTTTCTGCTTCTGGCGAATTGCTTCTGGAAACTTCTCGAAGTGGTATTGCATACACTGTTGGTGCGCTGTCATTCTTCCTTCTCCGCGATGTTACCTTTCCGGGCTGAACCCATTGCAGTGGCTTCTGTTCTTCGTAGCCAAGGCAATCTTTCCCAAGGTTCTGGCACTTTCTGCAGTGAGGTAGCGTACGGTCACACACTAGCCGACGTTTGAGGCACTCCCAGCACTGTCGTGGTGCCTTGTTCTCACCTGGTTGAGTAGACGTTATGGTATACCAGCCAACTTGGGCAAAGCTGAGCAAGAAGTGTGAAAATAGGCGAAACAGCGTGCGATCGGTTGTCCACGGGAGGATCCCGTTGAACAAAGCAAGGGGTCCTGCATCTTTATTGCCATTTGTGGCTATAAATTGTCCAGTCAGAATGAGCTATACAGAATGCCGAGAGGCCGTGTGAGATGCGGCGGAGTTCAGCCCTGCCAGATGTCTTGGCCATGGTTCTTTCCTGATTCGGCATCGATTGCATCCACGCTAAGCCCCACGCTCCAGATGTGTTCATGGGTTGCGAATCAGACACGAAGTACTTGCAAAGCCACTGGAGCTTCTATTGCAGTCAAGTATTCGGCGTAAGATGAGGTTGCTATTCATCAACACTTTGTCACACATACACAGCCTACCTCTGCCATGCGGACTGTGCGGCCGTATAGAAGCAATTGCACGCGAAAGCCGGGACGTTGATGCGAAGGTACTTCGAATGTGCCTCGAGTGCGCTGTTGTACAACTTCATGGTGTGTAGTATACAGAGGGGAATTGATGCCTCTACTCGTTTGTCCTGAACGCCGAAGCATGCCGCTGAACTCCGATATCGTCTGCTCGTTATATGTACAATGTGGTGACGACCTCATTCTTTCCTCAACCGGTCCAATTCCTTGTTCTCTGGATCTTCGTCTCCCTTGGTCTCTGGTACATCTTTCGTTGGCCGACCTGCATACAGCATGTAACCCTTCTCCTCTATAGTTCCTGCCTTCTCGTCCTCCATCGATCTTCCTTGCCCGAATGCGCCCGTCTCGAGCTGCCCTTGGACGGCGATGGGTCGGTTGCCACGGAATCGCTTGCGCATATCGATCATGCCTTTCTTGCACTCTGCATAGCCCTTCTGCAGCTGTTGGCACTGTGTCGGGAGGGTGTATTTGAGTGGTGGGCGCAGACATTCGCCGGGGCTATTCCGCTCCACCATGATGCAGTCGCTGTTCTGCAGGCAGAATGCCAGCGCGGCTCCTACTACCCGTTAGTCTGGGCACGTGATCACAGGTGTGTGACAGCATACGGATGTCTTTACATGACTGAGGCATGTTGACGGTGTGATCAATGATCAACTGAGGAAGGCGCGCTCGCTGGTGGATTGAGCTGGGCAAAAGTGCATCGGCGAATTTCGCTTCAAACCTCCGATCGCTGATGGCTGATTGTAGCCTCCACGCTATCACATGCCAGGACGTCATGGCCCGTTTCTCCACAGCCCCAAGCGCAAGCATCATGATTCGCATTCCTCCTGATGTTGAGAATCTGCACTTCAACCCTTTCCGGTGCGCATCCGTTGGGGAACATGGATAGCTGGACTGCATGATAACCTCGGCCCTGGTTTGAAATTATCCTTCGTCCACCGCACCTCTGAACTCCTTCACCAACACTCGAGCCACCATGGCGCTCCACATCCCCTTTCTCTCGCGCCTGCATATCCGCGAATATGTGGCGCTGGTGTTGTCCATGATCCTTATCGGCCTCGAGTCCTTTATCGCCGTCATCACCCTTGCCCTGCCTACGCCCATCATCAATCTCTGCTACCGCCTCACGCGCCGCATATGGAACCAGCTATCGTCGCCGTCCTCGAAGCGATCCCGCCAACGCAAAAAGGGCGTATGGAGTGCCATTGCCAACGCCAGCGACTTCACCGAGCTGTGTGAGCTGTATGGCTACTACTGCGAAGAGCACATCGTGCAGACAGGGGATGGCTACCTCCTGGGCCTACACCGACTGGGATGGAAGTCAGGGGAAGAGGGAACGCGGGTGAATAGTGGTCGAGAAGGAGGCGTCAAGAAGAAGGTCGTGTACCTGCATCACGGTCTGATGATGAACAGCGAAGTCTGGGTGTGTCTAACGGAACGCGAACGATGCCTGCCGTTCGAGCTGGTCGAGAGGGGCTACGACGTGTGGCTCGGCAACAACCGCGGAAACAAGTACTCCAAGAAGAGCGTACACACTGCACCGACATCGAGTGCCTTCTGGAACTTCAGCATGGACCAGTTCGCTTTCCACGACATCCCCGACTCGATCGCCTACATCCTCGAGACCACCCATCAGCCGTCGCTGTCGTACATTGGCTTCTCCCAGGGCACTGCGCAAGCATTTGCGACTCTTTCAATACACCCGACGTTGAATGACAAGGTGGACGTCTTCATTGCACTGGCACCAGCAATGTCACCCAAGGGCGTCGCGTCTGGAACCGTCGACTCGTTCGTCAAGGCGTCGCCCGACATTCTTTACCTCGCATTCGGACGCAAGGCGATTCTACCATCTGCCACCATGTGGCAGTCGATCCTTTACCCACCCATTTTCGTTCGCCTTATCGACACCTCGCTACGCTTTCTGTTTGGGTGGCATGCAACCAATATCTCGCCGCACCAAAAGCTTGCCGCGTACCCGCATCTCTACTCGTTCACGTCAACGAAGAGTGTTGTACATTGGTTCCAGATCATCCGCAATGGCGTCTTCCAGATGTACGATGACGAAGCGCCCAATCCTGTCATGTCAAATCGCTCCAAGTACTACAAAGTCGCCAAGTTTCCCACAAAGAACATCAAGACGCCAATTGTGCTGGTCTATGGCGGCTCTGACAGTCTAGTCGACATCAATATAATGCTCAAGGAGCTACCTAGCCATACGGTGGCAAAGGAGATCCCGCATTACGAACATCTCGACTTCTTGTGGGCACAGTCAGTCAACGAACTTGTTTTCCCACATGTCTTCGAGGCCCTGGAACAACACGCAGGCGCTGATCCGGCGAAGCGAGATCGATGGCAGTCTCCTGCACGCTTCCGTGGCCTTCTGCCTAGCCCGGAAGACACATCCAGTCCCCAAGACGAAGAGGGCGAAAGTTCTTCCAGCCCTGCCGCGCTTCGCGTCAAGAAGGTCTCACAGACAACGAGGAGATCACCCTACACCGATGGCGCTCTAGAGGATGCGGCCAGCTTGCATACGCCCTCTCCGAAGACTTCGCGCCTGCCACAGCTGAGGTCAGCTAACGCATCAGCTAGCGATCACAGGCGACCATCATCACAAAGTCCTGCCTCGCGCCCCAAGATCACCCTCCGCTCTCCCACAAATGTAAACCAATCGCCAGCACCATCGCTTGACGCATCTCAGCTCACGAATCAAACCTCAACCTCACGTCCTGAGGGCTGGTGGTCGTCTGACGAAGTAGCCGGCACCGAGCATTCCCACCCTTCGACCCCAAAGACGCCTGTCAACGATAAGAACAGAAGCCCTAGCAGAGCAAGCTTTGAACACGTACACGCAGCTCCGGGTCGAAGATCGGAACAGGACGATTCGGAGAAAAGGGCATTAGTTTAGGTGTCGCAAAGGCGATCAGCGGGCTGGTCGACGGTGAGGGACATGGAGAAGGAAGCGGTGTCACCAATAGCGGCGAGAAATCTCTTGAAGCAAGTGCGGAAGAGAGGAAGAGAAAAAGGAAACTGTTGAAAAAGAAGGGTACGCCTGTGAATCAGTAGATCAATGTCACAGAATTGACTTGTTGTATTACCATTGGTTCGTATACGCGCGATTGTATTGCTGCTACGAAGGGCGGCACCAGACGTCACTCACTGTATTGAAGAAGCTGCGCCCTCGTCCTAGTCAAAATGTTCCCCACTCATGCAGCCCGCCTAACATCCGCTTCACCTCATTCGCCCCACGTCATCCACTACCGGGTGGCTACCGCGACTGCCTGGGGATGGCGGTATAGAACATGTTTGCCATAAAGATGAAGTGCTTACAGCTCAGGCACTCATCACCATCGCCTTGTCACATCGCTCGGCATGGCGACTACTCTCGATACCCGTCGCATACGGCGATGCACACCCGCTCAGCTGCGGGATTACTTCAAGGGGATCCAACATGACGTAGCAGAGAAACTTTGTACGCTTCAAATACTTGACGCCATTTCACGTGGATCTGTTGCGCCTTCTCCCATTTTTTCGACATGGCTCGGCGTCACCAAATCACCGTCTGCCATTCAGTCGGGACTGCAACAGACCTTCTCGATCCTTGTGAGAGAGATTTCCATCACACACCTTGGCAAAGCCTTCTGCTCATCGCGATGGAAGGACTTGTCGAATCAGCTGGGTGGTGTACCGGGTTTACTGAACCTGCTCAACAATTTGTCCGTTGCCGAGGTACGCAACACTTGCAAAGCTCTCTCGAGATGTGCGAGGGGAGAAGACATCACCGATAAGAGAAGGTTTATGACTGAACTGTTCATGGGACTGCAACCACATGTCTTTCCGGATGTACCAGTGAAGTCGACGGACGGTCGACCGCTTGGGAGACACTATCAACGTCTAATTCCAAGCTGCACAGAGGAATTGGTAGAGAGAATCGTTTCTGGTGATCTGAAAGGACGGTGGAAGCCTGTTAGGCACAAACACCTGGTGCAGTACCACCCCGAAATCATAAGGAGGGAACAACTTCGGGCGTTGAACGACAAGACAAGACCCGGGATCGACCAAAAGAAGTTTCAAAGCCTGCTTACCATCTACCCACAAGACTTGGGCACCATGCAAGGCTTCTCTGCCTCCATGAATTTCGCTCTGGATCTACTGCGGAAGTTGAGTGCTAGCACAGAGAAATTGCTCAGCGACGATATCTTCATCAACGACTTGGTTCGACCTCTCCTTTCGCGCGCTCTCAAGAAGAAACTTGAGTGGTGCACCGTCCGAGAAATTGTCGATCTCACTCTCCTATACCTGGAGACGCATCCATCCGCAGGTAAGGAGATCAGCATCAGCAAAGGTGACGTACATTATCTGGTTGCTCAGTGCTGGGCGCATGAGCCAGAAATGTTTGAGGCGCAGCTCAAGAAGCTGTGCTCAGATTCAGTATTTGGTACCTCGTCACATGATGACATTGACGAGTGGAACGAATTCGTGGATGGGATCCCACGGCACCGGCGATATGCATTGTTGCGACTGTGTTTTGCGGAGTCGACTAGAATGGACCTGGATAGCGACGACGATCTCAAGAAAGTTAAAGGAAGTCTCTATGACGAGTTGCTCGACACGCTTAGTCCAGAGGAAGCTCTCGACCTGTTCACACGGCTACGCGTAGCGAGGGGAGATGATGACCTCTTCACTATCACTGCTGGAAACACAATCACGGACATCGGACCCGCCTATAATACACATGCCTCGGATCCTGATTTATATCACGTCGTCCTGCTGGTACGCAATGGGCAATACGAACAGGCACGAAACCTCGCAACCGCGCAACTCGAACTGCGCAAGAAGAAGGCAGAGAAAGCATCGACTCCTGAACAACGTGCATTCTATGCCAAATCTTCCCTGTACTATGGTGTCGCCAGTGGTGATATGCAAGTATACCAGTCCACACTGGAATGGACAAAACGCTTTCTCCGCGATCCACAGGTACTTCCGGCGCTCTATCCACGGTACGGCCATCCAGACGAAGTAGTCACCCTTCTTTCGGGTATCCCTAATGACCTTACCAACCTCACAAATTCCTGGTTACGTGCGAGGATATATTCTGGCAATGCCACATTGCAGAGCCTGTTCGACACAGCTTGCCTAGCTATACGCGAACCGTCATTTCAGGCGTACAGCTGGGAAGGAACGCTGTACTTGTTTCAACAGGTTGTTTCGGAGCGAATCAAGAAGTCAGAGTCAGTGCGCAAGTGCCTCTCCGCATCTGACGAAGAGATGTACGACATACTTTGGGCAGATACGCTAGAGATGCTACTTGCTGTGGAGAAGAAAGCGAACCGTCGCGAATCGGTCAGACTGGAGGCCAACAGTATATGTGGCCCACTGGGGTGGCTAGCTCATCGGAGTAACGGTAGATCTGACTTTGAACCAGCGACGCCATCGAAGTATATATACAGGTTTTTCGATAACCTCGCCAAGGCTAGAAATGAGTACTGGAAGACGCTGCGAGCGACCGTCCATCCCGCGACTCTTGCACTTCCGGACCCTCTGCCGCGCGGTTTACCAGCCCAGTATCTCACGAATCCATGGATCCTCAATACACCTGATCTAGAGAATGTCGCGCCGTACATCGCATCTCGCGCAGAAGCCGTCGTATTCCAAGACCCAGTTGTTGCTCTTGAGCTTTTGGCCGACGACGAGGAATCTATGGAGGCCATGGGAATGTTCGTTGAGAGCTATCAATATGCCTTGCGAGTTTACATTCCCAAGTCTTGTAGTGACGATGAGCGTACCAGACGCATCCAAAAGGCGTGGAATCATGCTAGAGGACCCTTGAGCCAAGGTCGTATGGATGACGACGAAGCCGTCTGGTGGTGGCGGGAGAAGCCGCCATTTGAGCTCCAGAAATACTGGCCGCCATATCAAGAGATGGTGAAGCGCAAAGGCGTTATCTGGCCTCTGATACCGGACGTCGAGGACCCTGAACACCCATGCGAGTGGAATCCTTTCGAAGCTGGGCGGCCAAACCGACCTAACCGCGATCTTGGAAAGCTGACTTATCTGGACCTATCCGTTCTCATGATGGGTAAAACCCCATCAATAGCCCAGATATGGACAAGATCAATGCTGGATGCATATTCACCCACAGTCTCAGCACATAAGGAGGATAAGTCTCAGCTATGGGCCTCTTCGCGTAACATAGGCGAAGGAGGTGTGCTCGCCGCTCTGCTCTATCTTGAAATGAAGCACGGAGCCCCCAACGGCCGCCTTCTACAAAAGCCTTTCCCATCTGCCGAGGATGCACGCTTCCCGAGTCTGTATCTTGACGATGGCTGTTACAGGGCGACTCCCTGAACACGTTTAATGCTGTGCGGCACATAAAGGGACACATCGATGCGATCCCTCCTGCTTTGATGCATCTGTCGGCAAAGAACATGATGAGCAACCTGTGGGCCCTAGACCGCGAAGAACATGACGATCACTCCGTACAAGAGTTAGCTCTTACTCTGCTGATTCGTCTGAGCGAGAGCGACAATCCCTCTTTAGCTCAAAACTTGGCTCTGCAAACAATTATTGGCAGACCTAAAGCAAGCTCATGGCACCGTCAGCTGTTGAAGTTGAGTTATCTGCGCAAGCTCTCGCATGCAGATGCGAAGACATTTTGCGAACGCTTTGCAGAGGCAGTGATTGCGAAGATCCCTGCCAGGAAAGAAAGGAAGGAAGATGTGACCGGCGAAGGAGAGAACGCGGACAACCCGGCCAAGTCATTCGTCAAAGTCACCACAATCAAGTCACTGGCACAGCTGCTCCTCCAAGCAGACTTCGTTGACGAAAATTTTGCACTCTCGGTGCTTCTGACCCTTCTCGAACGAGCTTCCCATCGCGACGTGCGAGTAAACACAGCTCAAGCACTTCTTGGTATCTTCGAGACATGTCCTCCGGAGCTGGCCGAGAAGATTTTGGTAGCCTTAGAGGGACTCATACCAATAGCTGGCAATCTGAATGAAAACAAGTTGGTCACAGAGGAAGAATGGATTAATGCCGAAAAGACCTTGGACTTGCCCGGGTATCCAGGCATCGACGACGATCTGGTTCTATTCGAGCTGTTCTTCACACACTTGTCCACGACACCGCACACTTCAAAAAGACTCCTGATTTTTATTGAACGTATATTGCTCCCGACACTCGCTCACCGAAAACGCCAGGTTGCGCGCTGGGTCGCGCTATTCCTGAAGAAATATGGCGTCGAAGAAACTGGTGGTCTACTGCCACGTGTACCCCAACGTGCGAGTGTGCTACTTGGTAGCAGAGTGGCTTGTTACCTTCCACGAACCATTCTGGAAGACTTGGTGTCATACATTGAGTTCAACATTAGACTTCCCGCACCCATCGTTGCGCTGAACGATAGAATTCGTAGCGATTCTGCCATCCTGAAGCGACCAGAAGTTCACATATGGTTCGATCTATTCGGCTCAGGCACTGGTGCTCTGTCGCATTCGCAACCTTCGACATTCTCTCGCTATTCGATAGGGGAGTAGAGCT